GCATCCGGAAGCTGATTGCAACTCTGGTTGAGCATTTGATTGTTACTTGCATTGTGCAGTCGAAGGAGAGCTCGAAAGTGTTCATTGAATTTTTCATTCAAGCCACCCAAAGCCCCTCAAGCCTTGAAGCCCCCTTGAAGCCACCCAAAACCCCTCAAGCCTAGAAGCCCCTTGAAGCCACCCAAAGCCCCGAAGCCTTGAAGCCCCCTTGAAGCCACCCAAAGCCCCTGAAGCCTTGAAGCCCGTCAAAAGCCTTCAAGAAGTGTTTAAGCCTTTTTCTGAAGGGTTTAAAAAGGTTTGAAGGTTTTGACAAGGTTTTGACAAGGTTTTGAGCAGGTTTTGGAGAGTTTGGAGGGTTTTGAAAGGTTTGCCAAGGGTTTTAAGAGAGTTTTAAAGGGTTTTGAAGGGTTTTAAGAGAGTTTTAAAGGGTCTTCAAGGTTTTGAGAAGGTTTTGGAAGGTTTTGAGGGTTTTTAAGAAGGTTTTTCAGGGCTTTGAGGGTTTTGAGAAGGTTTTGAGAAGGTTTTAGAAACTTTTGGAGGGTTTGAAGGCTTTTTAAGAGGGTTTAGAGGGTTTTGGACGGTTTCCAGACCGACCCCAGACAGTTTTACAAGGGTTTGCCAAAAAAACACACAATTTTTCCGTTCGGCGGCGCGCCTCCGGCGCGCCGCTCCTTTCTCTTTAATTCAAGAATTACTTACCGTACGAGACGCCGCGCCCGGCTTTAAGTTCTTTTGTCGATGGTTCTGTTTGTTCCGGATCGAATGCAGTGACTGCTGTCATAAGGGCGACCCACGCAAACAAAAAAGGTCATCAGTTCAGCATTCACTATAGAAAGCAGTGGTTGGCCAAGCATCATCAGTTTGATCGTCTTGTGTAAGTGGACCCAGCTTGTCAAGTCGAAGTTGCATCGCAGACGTCGTGCGCAGATTCATTTTAGAAGGTTCTACCTAGACGAATACGACGTTTGTTGTTGATTCACACGACCTGATGCTTTTATGCCCGGCTTCTTGCTTAGAGTCGTGACAAGTTGAGCCGTGTTGCGTGTGGATCTTTGACGACTAACTGTCCTGATTGAATCAGAGTCTTTTTTAGGCTCCAAGCAATGTTGAAACCGCTACATTATGTGGTTCTGAACGTTGTTGCTTCACTTTGTACATTCTCTCACTTGAAGCAACCGCAACCCAACGACTCACGAAAACAACACCATGAACATGCAGATAGCTGACTTCATTGGAGGTTTTGATCTGCATGGTCCTCCAAGCTTCCCTACTGACGCCTTGTCCGGTTGTAATTCTTCACCACCGTGGAATCCGACTAGCGCACATTCCAACCACCAATGTAGAACAAGATCGCAGATCCCTTCATGCTGCATTTTGGCCTGCGAGAACCGTGTTTTGGAGGATTTCCTGTTCGTGTATTTCCAGTTGCCCAATTTGTCGTACAAGATTTGGGAGACATTGCTGCCCGTTTGAAGGCGCAGAGCTCTTTAGAGCAACCTGTACAGGTAACTCCGGAGCGTAGAGTGCTTCGAGCCCTGGCCCCTGGGTTGCGCTTTTTGTGCATTCTTCCTGCGCACCTGTACAAGCCAAAGGCTACACGACATCTTTCGCACATCGAGCAAGTAGCACACCGAAGCCAAAAAATCAAAATCACACCAACCAAGACAACAACCAAATAGACTAATTCCGGACCTTGTGACGTGCACACAAGCCTTTAAAATTGCCGGCATTTCGGACCCAGTTTGCAAGACATCAGTCCCTGCCCTTTGTACACACCTGACATGCGACCGAAGCCCTTTTGGCAAGAAAGAGGAAGTTTTTGCATGGTAGCGGAGCTGCCGAACCCAAACCTCATTCCTTTGGGTCTGAGTTAGGGGTGCAGCTCCAGGGCCGGGACCCAGAGCCCTTAGAGTCATTAGGGCCTCCCGAGCCATACTTTTTCTGACTTTTCTGCTTTTTCTGGCCTGCAGCTGCAGTTCGATCTGCCTGTGTGGCCCCAGCTTTTGCGTAAGTCCCCAGCGCGGGGCGGCACCGGACTTTAGTTTTGGGAATCCTGGGCGCAACGGCCAGCAGTGCTTGCGAAACCTGGGTGGTGGCTTTGAGGAGGTTTTTGGGCCCTGGGACTTATCTGGGTTATTTGGTGGCGGCCGGCAGTGCTTACATTGCTGGTCTTGGTGCAGGGCAAGGTACAACATGAGTGGTGCGGCGCAGGGGCCGCAGGAGCAGCCGCAAGGGATGATGTCACCTGAGGTGCGGCAGCAAGTGGACGCAGTGGTGAAGCAGCGGCTGGAGCAAGCTTTTGGTTCTATGTTTGGGAAGGTTATGCAAGCAACGGAGAAGATGGCTACAGCTGCGGAGGCGCAGGCCTCCATCGTGAAGCAAGAGGGGCTTACCAAGGTGATGAAAGTGGACCCTTGGAAGCCAAGCAACAGAGAAGAAGAACTGAGGACCTGGCGCGAGTGGCAATTTCAATTCCTCACTTGGGTCGCTGCTCACGACGCCCGGTTCTCTGAGGATTTGGCTGCTATAGACGTGGATGTGCCTGAGGACCACGCTCTAATGGACCCCGCGAAGGCCCAGCGCTCGCAAAAGCTTTATGCAATCCTGGTGTCTTTGCTTCGTGGCCGTCCCCTCCTTCTGGTCAAGGGGCTGGAGAAGGAGAGGGCCGGGCTGGAGGCGATGAGGGTGCTTCGCCGGGAGATGGAGCCGAAGGAGCGTGCCCGCTCCCTCGCCCTTATGCGCCAGCTGGCATCCTGGCAGTTCCGCGAAGGAGGCTTGCACGAGCAGCTTATTCAGTTCGAGGAGGCCGTCGCTTCCTATGAGGCGGCAAGTGCAAAGGTGTACCCGGAGGACTTGGTTATTGCCAGCATCGTGGGCGGCCTCAAGGAGCCTTTGCGTTCACAGGTGCAGTTGCGGATGAGTGCCAGCACGAGCTACGCGGAGATCCGTTCCTGGATCTTGCAGTACGAGGCCGTGAACACCCCTTGGTCGACCTCTCTTTCAGTTCGCGGCGGTGGCAGTCAAGGCGGAGGACCGCAGCCCATGGAGATTGACCAGATTTGGGGTAAAGGCAAAGACGGCAAAGGGAAGAAGGGCGACAAAGGGAAGCAAGGCAAGGACGGCAAAGGAAAGAAGGGCGACAAGGGCGGCAAGAACGGCAAGCAGCCAGGGCAATGGAAGCAGCCAGGACAGTGGAATCAACAAGGACAGTGGAATCAGCAAGGACAGTGGAATCAGCAAGGACAGTGGAATCAGCAAGGACAGTGGAATCCGAAGGGCAGCAGCCAGTGGAAGCAGCAGCAGCCGAGTGGCAAGGGCAATCCTGGACGGGGCAAAGGAAAGGGGCAATGCCACACATGTGGGCAGACAGGCCATTGGAAGTGGGAGTGCCCGTTCAAAGGAAAGGGCAAGGGAGTTCACCAGATTGACGGTGGCTCCTCTTCAGCGTCTACGGCCCCGTCGGCAACCAGCACAAGCACTGCTCCTTCTTCGGCTGGCGCCTTGAACAAAGCAGGAGGATACAACGTGAACAGGGTCGAGGTCAATTTGGGCACACCCCCCGGGTGCGAGGTGACCCAGCTCTTCGACATTAGCGAGCTCGATGACCCCGACGACCTGTGGGATTTCTCCTTGGAGCCGAGCGAGGTGATGGTGATTGTGGCGTGCCCCGGGCCATCGTGGCTTGACACCCTCGATGAAGATTGGGTCTGGGATCGGGAGCCTAGCGTGCCCACCTTCGAGATGAACGCCACCGACGGCGATGATGATTGGACCGTTCCTTGGTATGAGCCCAATCTGCGCACCGAGGAGGAGCCCAAGGTGATGAATGTTCGGGCGGTCCAAGCCCAAGGCATGGAGGTGGAAGTTGTGGTGGACTCGGGGGCCGACATCTCAGTTGCCCCGCGCTCCTTTGGGCAGCTGGGTTCCCCCACTACTTCAGCGGCCGTGGTTATGCACGATGCACAAGGCCGCCGGATCCCCGAGCTGGGCACCAGGATCCTAGACCTGGAGGTGAGGAGCACCGAGGGCGAAGCTGTGACGATTCGGGAGAAGTTCGCGGTGGCCAACGTTGGTTCACTTATCCTGAGCCTTGGGCGCCTTTTGCGCTGGGGCTGGGAGTTGGGCCACGAAGGCAGCGGGCCTGTGATCAAGCGTGACGGGTGCCGGCTGCCAATCAGGCTGAGGAGGAACACTTTGACAATGCTGGGGGTGGTCTCCATGATCAGCGCCTCGCTCGTAAACCCCGAGGCGGCGAGAGTGAATGCCACGAGCGTCTTTGATGACTTTGGGCCCTTACCCCCAGAGGCGGAGGATTTGATGACCAGGCCCGGCTGGCACATCCTTGGCAGTGGGCTGCCTTTCCTAGTGACCCACAAGACGGAGGCGTTGCACTTGGAGCAGAGCCTTTGGTCCTCCGAGGATTGGGCTTGGGCGGCGGTTTTTGTGAGATCCGAGAAGGCCACCCGGCTTCCTCGAGCAGGTGACCTATGGACCCAGGCGGCAACAATCCCAACAGGGGAGCTTGGTGGTTTGCCAGACCGCCTGACCGAGCTGAACGATGACCTGGTCGGGCCTCATGACGTTTGTGTTCTTTTCCATGTGGACCAGTTGCCGAATGACCTCCTGAGCCAGCCCCGAGACTTCTTTAAGGAGAACGCGGACGACGGCGGCAGCATGGATGTGGTGGTTCCCCAGGAGGATGAACAAGGCGGAGTTGGAGTGATGCCAGACGAGGTCGTGGGTGCCGAGCGCGACCTTGAGGAGAAGGAGCCCGAGGGTGAAGTGATGGATGGTATTGCTTTGTCGGTGGAGACCCCTCTTCGGGACCTTCGGGGGCTTTGTGAGCGGCAAGGTTTGCCAACAAGCGGCAGCAAGGGCAAGGTGCTCAGACGGCTTAAGCAGCACTATGAGGTGCTGGAAAGGCAGATGGCGGGGCAACTTGCCCACAAGCTCTATATGGAAGAGGACAGGCCTCCTGACCTCCCTCGTGCCCCACGGCTTCCCTCGGCGAGACAGCAAGAGCTGCACAGCGTGACGCACCAACCGTACGCCAATTGGTGTGAGGCGTGTGTCCTCGGCCGTGCCAAGGCCTCCCCTCATGCTAGGCACGATGGTGCTACAAAGCAGGACCGCGAGGACAAGGACAAGGGCCTCCCGCTCTTCCAGATTGACTACGCCTACACTTTTACGAGAAAGCGGGAGGAAGAGCAGGAAGCCCAAGAGGAGGAGGAGAGCGAGGACAAGATTGACCCGGTTGACTATCAAGACCAGTACGGCTTGACGCTGGTTGGGGCGGAGGAGCTCACGGGCTGGTGCGTAGCAATCCCTGTGCTACAGAAGGGGTCTGCGGCTCTTAGGCGCGTGGTGGAGCAGCTGACCAGGCAGACTTTGCAAGTTTGCCCGGCCGGCCCTAATTATTTTCCAAGGCGACCCCGAGCCGAGCATAAAGCAGATTGTGAACGCCGTGGCGGCCTGCAGGAGCAAGTTGGGCTTGGAGACCCAGGTGCGCTTTGTGCCGCGCGGGTCGCACCAGAGCAACGGGATGGTCGAGAAGACGGTCCAAACTGTGCGCAATGGCGGCCGCACCCTCCGAGCCTATCTCGAGGACCGCTGCCGAGTGAAGGTCGAAGGCCACAACCATATATTCAGCTGGGCAATGCGGCACTCGAGTTTTATCCACAACAGGTTCTCGCGAGCCGTGCGAGGAGCCCCTCCATATGAAATTGTTTTTGGGCGGCGCTTCAAGGGCATTCTCTTGCCCTTTGGCGAACAATGCCTTTTCCACTCCCCCTCGAGGCACAAAGGGGATATGCAGTGGAGGAGGGGAATCTATGCAGGCCACAATGATAGAAACGGGGCGAGTATCCTCCTCACCCCGGACGGCGCTTTTGAGTCCCGAAGCCTTCGTCGTCTACCGGCTGAGGAACAATGGAATGGCGAGATGGTGTTGGCGGCCAAGGGATTGCCTTGGGATTACCAAGGGCTCAAGAAGAGGAAGCGTCCTCTATACACGTCGAGGACCGCGCTCGTTCCGGATTCGGCTTCTCTGCAGGAGTTGGCTAGAGCTGCCGGAGTTGCTGCTGCTGCAGCCATTGCCAGCAACACACCGCGGCCTGAAGCAGCAGATGAAGCAGGGTCTGACAGCCCAAGCCGAAGCAGCAGCGCAAGCAGCGGAGAGCGAGACCAAGGAGCAGACCCGGATGAAAGGCCAGGCGGGGCAGGAGAAGAGGCAACCGTGGAGGTGCCCAGCGGCGGCGGCATGGACACCAGTGCGGGGCGAGGAGTTTTGGAAAGGCCAGCAGAGGCGAGAGGCGGTTCCGAGCCGAAGCGGCCACGGCTACTGCTAGACCGGCCTCCTGGTTCTTCGTCTTCCCCTTCGGCACCAGCACAAGCAGAGCAGCAGCGAGAGGGCCAAGCAGGGAGCACAGGCGCAAGTGGCAGCCTTTACCCTCCTACCTTTGCCGGTGTGCGGGAGGTGACCGGTGACATCCCCATGGACGAGCTTGCAGAGTTTGAGCTCTGGGGCGGCGAGCTGGCAACCTACGGAAGCAGCCTCGACCAAGAGGATTGGGTACCGGATTGGGACCCGAATGCCGACCGGCCGCCTGAGCTAGAAGGGGAGGAGCTGGACAGAGTCGATCGAGCAGCCGACCTCACTGAGGTGACCCGCCTGCTCGAGATGGGCGTCCTACGCCGACCTGCCGATGGCGAGAGCACCGAGGGTTACACAAGGCTAACGACTAAGGTCGTCCGTGATTGGCGGCGGCGGCCGGGCTGGACCCGCCGATCCCGGCTGGTGGCCCGAGAATTCCGAACAGGTTCTCCTTGGACGGAAGAGCTCTTCGCGCCTGCCTCAAGTCTTGGTGTTGTTCACAGCTTTTTGGTGTGGGCTGTCTCCGCAGGCCTTGAAGTCGTGAGTCTCGACATAAAGGACGCGTATCTTCAAGTTCCACAGCCCAGCCCAGCAATCATCACCGTGGATGCGCGGATCTTCTCGGAGGAGGCGACCGGCCAGGTGACGTATGTTCTTGAGCGCCTCCTTCCAGGGCAACGCGTGGGAGCCAGCTCTTGGTACAACTACGCCAAGGAGATGCTCCAGGATGCTGGGATGGAAAATTTCATCAAAGAGCCGACCTTATTCAGAAGCCAGAGGGGCAAGGAGCGTGCAGGACTTATCCTCCACGCGGATGACGGGCTACTTGCCTCCTCTCCCAAGGAACGAGAACGGCTTCTTCAAAGTATTGGGTCCAAGGTGAGCGTCCAGATGAGCAGCCCTCTTTTGAGGGTTGGTGATGAAATTGAATTTCTCAAAAGGCGCTATGCGCTGACGGAGGAAGGGCTTCTGGTGTTCCCCAGCAACCGCTACGCAGAGGCCTTGTTTGCAGGAGTGGGAAAAGAGGCAAAGGTGCGGGACACACCCGCAGACGCAAGTTTCCTGGAGATAGACTCAAGCGAGGAGCTCGACAGTGACAAGGCCCGGCTCTACCGCGAGGCAACGGGAAGGCTCTTGTACTTGAGTCACTCCCGAGGGGACATCCAGTTTGCTACTTGTATTCTTGCAAGCAAGATGGCCAAGCCTACACGGACTTCGTGGAGATGGTTGCAAAGGGTGATTGGGTACTTGAAGAAAGTGCCCATGGTTGGCATTTTGCTGCGACCGGCGCGTTCTGAAGCCTGCCTCGGCTACGGGGGAAAAGCCAGCAACCTCCAGCCCGGCTCAATGATCGTCGTGGAGTCAGTGACTGATGCTGATTGGGCCGGGGACAAGCAGACAAGGCGGTCCCGGACAGCTATCCAAATCTATGTTGCGGGTAGCATGGTGGCCAGCTTTGTCAGGAGCCAGCGCTCCATCGCACTTTCAAGTGGCGAGTCGGAGTTCATCGCTTTGGTTGGCGGTGCCTCCGAGGCCTTGTATGTTGCAGATTGCTTGAAGTTTCTTGTTGAGGGGGAGGAGCTGGAGATTGAGGTGAGAAGCCGGTCGGATTCTGCAGCGTGCCGCGGGATAACCCAGCGGGTCGGATGTGGCAGGATCAGGCATCTTGATGCCTCCCTTCTTTGGGTGCAGTTGGCTGTGAAAGCCAAACGGCTGGCCATCGGCACGGTGGCTGGGACCATGAACCCAGCCGACATAGGGACAAAACCGTTGGCTGGAGCACGGCTGCGGGAACTTATGTTCCTGATGGGCGGCCGAACACCCGACCTCGAGCCCTACGGCGAACAAGACCACAACGAAGCCTGCGCAAAGCGTGGGATGGCCAAGGTGTTCAAGGAGATCCGAGAAAGTGGCGCAGCAGTGGGTGTGAATACCATCAAGCGCCACCTCCCTCTCATGATATTGCTTTGCCAAGCTGCACAGGTTGAGGGCTTGAGCCTGGCAGGGCCTCTCCTGGCTATGATCGACGACGAGTTTGCAAGCTTGGTGTTTACAACGGCAGTTTTGGGATTACTCTTTATAATGGTTTTCCTGGGTTTTCCCCTCTGCTGCTTGTGGCTTGCAAGGCGCTTGTGTTGTTTGTGGAGAGGTGAACGAAAAGCAGCGCATGGCAAGGCCGGAGAAGAAGCGAAGGAAGTTTCAGTGCAGGCAAACATGGGTTTGTCAAAGGCGGAAGAGCGCTTTCAGCAGGAGTACGTCGACAAGACAGTGGAGCTGCGACAGATTGTGGCTGAGCAGCGTGAGGAGCTCAACAGGTTCGAGAGACAAGTGAGGTTGCTCAGGGAAGAGAAGCGAGCTCTTGAAAGAGAGCTCACCCTTGCAAGGGCGAGGGCTGTGCCACCTGAGCAAATTGTTGTAGCTCCTACCAGAGGGGAGCGCTACCACCTTCCCGGTTGTGGGAATATCAGGCATTCCACAACGCGTGTATATACACCATGCAATGCCTGCATGAACAGGCTGATTTAAGAAGTTTTCCGTTGGCGTGACCCAAACTTGAAGATAGGAGAGTTTGGTCACGAGGCGGGGTGCAAGACATCAGTCCCTGCCCTTTGTACACACCTGACATGCGACCGAAGCCCTTTTGGCAAGAAAGAGGAAGTTTTTGCACAGTTTGCACTTCAGATTTGATATTTGTCGTCAAACAGCTTGCGCAGCAAGAGCCTTCCAGAGCAGCTGCTGGATCCAGGGGTCAATTCGAATTGCTTGAGCAGTATACCATGTCGCATGCCATGCGTCGTATGTTTCTCAGCATAAAGAGATCTCTGTTTCAAAGTTTAGAACACTTACCCAGCAGGTTTTACAATCGTGCAGGTAAACGAACGTGCTTCCCATGATTTACATGTTGACGTGCCGACCACAAAATGGGTGGGCCGGGCCTGTATTAACAAGCGCTGGCCGTTAGATAGTTTTGGACTCAGATTGGAGTGGTGCGCATGTGCATGTTGCGTTGTCGTGATGGCCAGGTCGGCGTCGAGCCAGAGCCAAGCCACCGGCTAAGCCGAAGCAAAAGCTGGATACGCAGCACCTGGGCTGCGATTACGTGTGACGTTGCGTTACCTGGGAGAAGCTTCGCTTGTGCAGGTTTGACTGCCTTTTCTGCGGCAGCTTGAAAGCGGTGGAGGCCGGGCAAGACCATCAACAGCATGGCCTTCCACTTCTCATGTCAAATGCTGGCTTCCATGCCGTGTAGTGTTTGTTGGAGTTTGTGCTCAGATCTGTCGACAGCCATGGTTCGCATGCTTCGATCTTGTCGGTTTCATCAGTTTTTGCAGCATAGCGTGCCATACTCAAATACGTCGCTTCTTGTGCAGGTTAAGCTGGTTCGTCTCGAGAAGATTGGGTTCTTGTCTCTTGCCTGACTGTAGTTACAGCAGGGACTTCCAACATGATGTCCCAGCTGCTTGCAGTTGAGGAAGTGCCGAGTTTGCAATGCTGGGTTTTCGTCGCCGATCAGCTACCTGAGCGAGGCTGTTTGAAGTCCTGCTGTGGCAAGCTGTTGCGCCAGACTTCTTTACGGCGGCTCCAATCACTGCACAGCTGCGAGGCAGTCGACGTTTATAGCGACTGGGTTGACAAGGTTGCTGAGGCAGGTGTGATGCTTTCGGTATGCCGGTCAGGTCCATGTCTAAGGTCTTCTGCGCCAGGTCAATTACGAACCAGAAGAACCTGCAGCCAAGAAGAGCAAAGTTTCTGGTTGAGCAGCCATGTCCGGTCTTCATCGCGCATTGATCTCCTCAGCCATTTAGCCGTGAATTGTGCAACTTCCTGTGCACGGGTTGAACAGCAACGACCTTTCAACATCTTCCAACTGAGGAGGTGATCGTTGTCAGATTGTAGCATGTGCTCTTCCGGAAAGGCGAGCCTTGAGCATGCCTCGACGTGGGAAGCCGAGACGGAAAAGAGCAGTAGCTGGCAGTAACATGTAGTATAAGCGGCAAAGCCCTGAAGCCCATGTTGTGGCGTAGACCAGCGTACAGCGACCATCGAATTTCGAAAGTGTTGAGGGTTAAGGCTGCTTTAGATTTGCATTGTTGGAAAGCGATCTTGTCGATTTCATCGTTTAGCACCGTACATAGATATAGAGCCATCTGCTCTGTTGCCATGGAATGCTGTCAGGAGCTTGCAGATCCCGTTTTGTGCCAGCCGTTCTCGGTCATGTGCTCGACTGGCTAACAACTAACCAACATTGCAAGCTGCAGCCCTACTTTCGTAGAGATCGAAGATATATCGAGGGTTGCAGGTTGCACACTGATTGCAACTTAGTTGATCTCAGATCTCGCAGAACGGAGCATTGCAATGGCGCAAACTTTACGAAGCATTCCTCCGCTGCCCTCTACAGAAAGAGGCACCTTCTGCTCCATTTCAAGCGACAAGAGCGGCAACTTGTCTGATGTGCTCCCGTTTCTGACAGGCTACACATGCTGTGCGAAAGACATGCTTGTTAAGCTCCTCCGCTCCAGGTGAGCTGCTCCTCTACTGCAGCGGCAGCAACGTGATTTGGCGTCCGTTGTCTGCAATGGCAGCTGGAACAGAAAAGCCGGACGACATTTTCTGCTGGCGAGGCTGTGTTAGGGCAGATTGCTGTCGAGGTTAGGCTGAAAAGCGTCTCATGTGAGATGGAAGTGTTTTCTGTTTGCCAGGTCACGTCAAGAACACCACCTGCGCAGCTATGTCGCCAAATAGCCAATGGGTTGTATCCGGTGATGTCACAGGATCATTAAGACTCTGGGGTGCCAAAGGGGAGCATGCACAGAAGAACGAGTACAAGCTTTGGGACGCTCGGCCTGCTTTTATGCCTGCTGGCTTGCGGCTGTCCCGTGAAGAAGCTGCTAACTGCTGTTGGTAATGGCAAGGCCATCTCAGACACATCCTGAAGCTCCAAGCGTAAACCTCAAGCATAAGTCCCAAGAGCGTGGATCTGCCGTTGATGCAGGACGGGGTTGTGAAAGATGTCGCCTGGAGTGACGATTCGGGCCGTGGCTCATCTGAACTTACAGCCTCCGGAACCCGTAGGATGCCGTTTGGGAATGCCTCGAGTACTCCTCCACCGTGGTGTTTTTTTTTTGATTTCGGGCAAGTTGAGGCCTGGTGGCAGCTGGTGATGGCAAGGAGGTAAGGGCAGCGGCAATGATCTGGGACACCGGCAGCAAAACAGGCGAGGTAACTGGCCACACAAAGCAGGCCTGGTCCATCGTATTTACAAGGCATCAGCAGCGATCGCGTGAGGGTTTTCACTGTTCTGCACTGGAGGTCAATTCCATTGCTTTCCGGTCCCAGAGGCCTTTCAAAGTGGTCACTGGCGGCGAGGACATGCAAGTCATCTTCCACCAAGGTCCACCCTTCAAGTTCGTCAGGCCTGAATGCCGCAGTCCAGCAAGGGAGCGTGGTTACACAGCTGTGCTGCTGTGCTCGTGGCCAGGTCCCACAACGCACACTCCAACTTCGTGAACTGTGTGCGATACTCGCCAGACGGTGCCTGGTTTGCCTCTGCCGGCTCTGACTCCAAACTTTGTCTCTACGAGGGCAAGGAAGGAGAGTTTTTGAAGGAGTTTGCGAAGCCCGACGGCGTGTCTGGCAGCTTCTGGGCAATGGCCTGGTCCCCGGACTCGGCACGCTGTGCCACTGCTGGTGGGGACAAGAAGCTCCGCATTTGGGACCGAGAGGCAGGCGCCCAGGTAGCAGAGGCCACCGTCGGAACGGCTTTGGCGGACATGCAAGTCGGTGTATCGTGGGCATCCCCTTCACGCGTGGTCTCCGTCTGCTTGGACGGGCGGCTGCTGCTCTGGGATGTCACCTCTGGCCTCAGCCTTGCCGGCACCATCAACGGCACGCAGGGTCCCTTGAATTGCCTGGCTTGCGACAAGAAATCGAAGAGTCTGGTGTACGGAGGGACAGAGGGCTCTGTCGCTATTGCTCCGTCGTCAGGGCCGGTGATAAGGGCAAGTATTGGCAAGGGCATTCAGCATGTTCTGGGTCATTCTGATTCCTTCGCCGGGAAGCCAGAAGCCTGGATCGTCTCCCTCGATGATTGCATCCGCAAGATTGCGCTGGAAACCGGCGAGGCAAGCGCACCTGTCGAGGTCAAGGAGTTCATGGTCGGTGCAGGCTGGCTTGACGCAGGTGAATCGAAGCTCATAGTTGCCACCGGGAAGAGGAACTTTCACTGCATCTCAGACTCAATCGTTTGGAGCAAAGCCGATGCCGTGAAACGAAGGCCCACTGCTTTTGCTTCACTTGCAGGGAAGAAAGTCGCGGTTGCCCTGGAGCAGCCCGAGGGGCAAACAGGTGGCATGTCTAGCGCACAATATGACATCCACCTTCTGGACATCCTTGATGAGACTGCCGATGGCCTTGTTGAGAAGGCCCTGTTGCAGAAGCACTTGGCTGAAGTCTGCGCACTGCGATTTTCCCCAACAGGAGAGCACCTGGCTTCCAGCGACGCTGCTCACAAGATCGTGGTTTGGGGGCTGAGTGACGGCAATCCGGTGGCCAAGATCTCCGATTGGAACTTCCACACGGCTAGGGTCTCGTCCTTGGATTGGCTGGAGGGTGGCCAGAAGCTGGTCAGCGGATCCTTGGATCGCCACCTCTTCGTCTGGGACCTTCAAAAGCCCGACTCCAGGGTGCAGATCAAGGACACGCACAAGGGTGGGGTCACCGCAGTGGCTGCAGTGAGCGATGCCAGCTTCGCCTCCACCGGTCACGACGGCTTCGTGCTGCTGCATGGGCTGAGCTAAGGGCTTGCTGACGCAACCGCCCTTCTCGTCTCACAGTTCGAACCACTCGATTTAAGCTTCCCAGTCTGGATTGCCTGAACACGGAAAGGCTCGTGATCCTGATTTTCGATCCAGTGTCATAAATGAGGAACTGGCCTGAGAGCACATGTTGCTCAAGAGCCCAACTCTTACTTATGGGGAAAGTTTGATGTCGTTGCAGACAAGGTGACGATAGTTGCAGCTAGAGCTCCTCTTGTATCTTGTTGAAGACCTCAAGCCGCAAACAGTAGTAGTAGGAGCAGAATGCACCTCATGATGAAGCCGTCGATTTAGCCTCACCCTTGTCATCCTTTCTGCATGGTCTGCGACACAGTGTGTTTGTTCTCATGTTTGGCAGAGTGGGAGGTGCATCAGTGACTCCTGAGGCCAGTGGCGATGGCTGGGGCTGGGGCCACAGTGACTTGGAGATATGTGGCCTGGACCACCGGCCACCTCTTCTCCGGAGGTCTGGAAAGAAGATGGATCCTACGAGTATGCCCCTGGCGAGCGTGCAAGGCTGAAAGGTCGGGCGGTGTGCAAGGAAGCTTGAAGCTGAGCTCTTCTGCAAGCACCACAGGCAAAGAGAAAGGAAAGGACAAGGGCAAAGGCAAAGACAAGGGAAAAGGAGAGAAAGGGAAAGGGAAAGGCAAGGAGAAGGGGAAGGACAGGAACTGCCAGTTGGTATTTGTCAGACTTCTGTACCGGTACTCGTCAGAGCCATGCGGGTGCAAGTTGTGTGCGAGGACTCCATGACTGCGGCAGAGCGCCTCGCCTTCGCACAGGGCGCGTTGTCTGCATGGCTCCTAGAGATCTCGTTGTGCCGGTTGAGTGACCAGTGGCTATGCTGAGACTACAGAGGCAGACGGTCCCGCAGCCAAGAAAGCCCGTGTTGGGGAGACTGACACTCAGTTGCCCGATGTGAGACGGTGACTGCTTTTCTGTTGGAGAAGGCCTGGGGCCGGAGCAGAAGAAGAAGAGGAGGAGCTTCCCGAGTTCGACTTCGAAAAGGACCGACCTTGGCAGCATCCGGCTCTCGTGCCCGGACGCGAGCACAGGACTGGAAAGATAAATCCGTCGCACTCCTGAACCTCAAGGTCGACCAGAGTCGAGATCTGATGGTCCGATGCGAGTGCAGCATTCGCAGAGCCAAGGGAGCAAAGGATCTCAACGGTCTCATGGGAGTGGTCAAAGAGCTGGGGACATAACTCGCGCGAGTGCAAACAGCTGTGCAAGAGAGCACTCGTTGTCAAGGTACAACGAAGAAACAAAGCGATTTCTGGTTTGTGTGGAGGCTCAGTGCGATTCATCAAAGTCCGCTCACTCGCACGGACATAGATCTGAAGCAGGGTGGCAAAGGCGAGAAGAGCATCAAGATGGAGAACATCTTCAAGGCTCACGAGTTGTCACGGAATATCACGGGCTGTGTACACGAGACATTCCGGGCCTTGCAGAAAGGTGATGACTGGATGCATCGTGAAGCTCCGCGGCCTAGATTCCATAGAGCTGAACGCAGCTTGCCTCATCCTTCAAATGTTTATAAAGTCATGGGAAGTGCATGCAGAGGGCTGGCATGTCTTCATCTGGCAGTGACTGAGGAAGCCATCGGAGAATGCGGGCGGCTTGATGTCGAAAGCTTAAATCGCAGCAGCCTGGGCAAGCATGAACTAGCACTGAGACCATGTATATGAGGTAGAGAACCTGAGATACGACATCACACTGTCTGACGGACTCCGCAGCTTTGCAGCCATGTTGGCGCATGGTCGGGTGCGGTCCACCTGCTAAGCCAACAGGCGACGTACCACTTGCTACTATTTTGCTTGCCAGGACGTCATGTCAAAGCGAAACCTGCAAATGTCGAGCTGGTGGCCAAATACGAATCTTCTAAGGCGCTGTACCTCCTTGATGCAGCTATGATTAGCTATAGCTTTACAAAGTCACTGTGCAGGTGGCCGGTGATTCATCCCAGATGGACCGCATCCGAGCAGCCAATGGCCTCCGGGTCTGGGGCTTAGCTTCAGTTGAGTCTGCAGGGTCCGCATCGACATGTCGCATCTACGGAGCAAAGTCGAATTGGTGTGTGTTCAGTCGAGTTTTCTGACATGGAGGTCTTTGCTTGTAGGCTTCTACCATACAGGTGCACGCAGATGCATGGCTGAAGAATTTGGCCTTTCCAAGACATGGTCCTGGCCAGCCTCGCAGGTCGATCTGTGTGCGCGTGTGAGCGCATATGCAATGACATGCGGATGTGCAGCATCTCAGCCTGCGCCACCTCGCAGCTCTGAAGCTCTCTCAGCGCGAAGCGCTTCCGATCTTTTCTGAAGCTTTCCCACCGCGCGCTCCCTGCATCTAGCGGCTAGTTGGTTCACGGAAGCCAGCTCCATGGAGCAAGTTTCGCCCGAAGAGCGAACAGCAGAGAGAACCCAAGAAAAGGGAAGAAGTTGTGCATCCAAGCCCCCTGCCCAAGAGAGCACAGTCACCGACATGAGTTACACCGAGCCCTTCACTGTTCTGTGCCAACTGTGGACCGCTTTAGTGTCTTTCGCTTGTCTATGCCACCGAGTGATCGCCGTCAGCGAGTCTCGCCGATCGGAAAGGGAAGGACCTGTCAACTGTCAAATTCTGTGGCCTCCTGATTCTCCTGTCTGCTTCGCAGCTGCTGGTTGTAGTTGGTCAATGCAAGCCTTGGGCCCCGGTGGACGGGGCCTGGCTGGACGCGCGATTCCACACGGCCAGTGCAGCCGGAGTTTGTTGGATGTTGCTGGGCCATCAAAGGCGATCACTAACATGTACTGGCAACTTGTTTCGCTCGGGTGCAAGACAAGTGAGCAGCACTCCGATAGAAGCGTGCACGCGCTCCGATATAGTCACTGTGCTGCAGTGACGCTCAAGTCAGGATCGGCTCACTGCCGTGGAGGAGTTCGACTTTCCCGCTCCGATGGTGCTTCTGCCAGAACTTGGGACAACACGCGAAGAGTCAGAGTCAGGCGTGTTACTCTGGGAAGGTGCTTCCGGCCAGCGCGCTGGAGGCCTCGGCCTCGGCTCGTTACAGAATACGCCGCCCTCTTCCTCGCTCTTTATTTCGAGGACTACGCTCAGAAGTTTCCAAAGTCGGCTTTGCTCCCAGGACCTGTGGTAATCGAACGCAAGTCCTTGCCTTTTCAGACCAGGTCGTGATCGGAAAGTCCAATGCTGCAAATCCCAAAGGTGCCCAGGTGCTCGCGCGGGAGGTGTGGCCCTTCGACACGTTCTGCTTTTTTTCTGCTTTGGCCGTTTCCCCGTTGCTTGATCCAGGGAGAGGTAGAGAACTCCGCACAGAGTTGGCATCACCAACATGTGTGTCCCTTGACGACCAGAAGACTTTAGAGAAAACAACAGCTTCTATAGCTTTCATGTCTCAGAGCCCTAAAACGCTCAAACGTCCAGAAAACTTTAACAAAGCTATCCTAGACAAATCCAAACTGACGTCCTTTTACACTCGAATCTGGCCGGAAGTGACTTCTCCCCGGGACACTCGGCTGACAACAGAGGCCCACTTGAAAGAAGAAGGTCATGAAGGCTGTATCTGCTTGCAGGCTGCAGAGATGCTGCAAATGACTCTCGCCGCTAGGTAACAGTGCAGTAGCATATTTACATGTGCGGCCCGAACGGCGCGACTGCTACTTGTTTTTGGAGACGGCGCCCGTGCGGGGCCGTGGGGGGGGGGGGAGACTAATGACGTCCGCTGCACAGACTTGCTGGTCCAAGCCTAGATTGCAGGGATTTCCGGCTGGCTGGCGCTGACTTTATTTGTGCTGATCCTGCGGCAGACAAGCGGGCTGCTGCGATCACGGGCTTTCCGAACAGTACTAGAACTGTACTCTCACAGCCCAAGATCTTTTGTTGGGGTGTAGGGTTTGGTACCAGGCTTTGCCGCTCAACGTCTTCGTTTAAAGGTTTACACTTTCCCACACTTTACACTGTGGTTTACGACTGCAGGGCTTGCCATCAATTTTTTCTTTTAGCGTTTAGGCTTTGCTGCAGAATGTCTTTTCCAGGGATTCGGGTTTGGGGTTAAGGTTTGCCAGCCAACATGTTGCTTTAGGGTTACGGGTTGGGTTATGACCGTTTAGGCTGGAGTGGAAGGAGATTGTGCCACCAAGCATTGTCGCTTAGGGTTTAAGTCTTCTTTTGCGGTTTAGGGTTCGGTTCGGGTTTAAGGCTTGCCACCCAACAAGTTATTTTAGAGTTTCGGGTTTGGTTTTGGGGTTTGCCACCCAACATTTTCGTTTAGGGTTTACGCTTTGGTGTAAATGTCTCTGTGGTTTAGCATTGGGTCTATAACCGTTTCGGCGTCAGGGTTTTAGGGCCCAAGCTTGGCCACCTCACATTTCTTGTTTTCGGGTTTCGGGTTTTGCTTTAGGGTTTGCCACCCAACATGTTTTTGGGATTCACGATGACTACAACCTTTGTTGGGGCCGAAGCGTTGGCACCCAAGCAAGAGTTTCGGGTGTGGTTGTCGGGTTTGCCACCCAACATCGTCTTTTCGGGTTTCGGGTTTGGCTAGGGTTTAGGCTTTGCCACCCAGTACGTCCTTTCAGGCTTAAGTTTGCCACCCAACATCTTCTTTTGGTTTATGACCTGTTGAGATTTTCGGGTTTGCCGCCCGGTGCGACCTTTTGGGCAAAAAACTGCTACCCAACATCTTCTTTTCGGGCTTTGGGCTTCTTTTGAGGCTCAAGCACTCCATACCCTTTTTCTACACCAGTAGGTGGTAGCTGTGAGCGGTTGCGTCGGGAGATCTCCAATTTTCAATTGCTTGAAACCTGAACCCCGAAAACTGTTGGGTTTTGACAAAAGGCTGACAGCTACCCATGTTCTCCAAGGTATCTAAATTCAAAATCCCAGTGATTTAGGCTTGGGGGTTTCGGTTGTACGGCTAAAAGGCTTTGAGGTTGGGTGGTTGGGCTCTATCGCTCTCGGTGTTGGGCTTGATGAAATGACCCCGGTGCTCCAATGACAGTCGACGGGGCAACCCGAATGGGCTTATGTTGGCCGCAATCTCACTACAAATAATGCTTATGGAACCCGACAACCTAGTAAGCTCTATTGACCCATTCAGCTCTCAAAGACGCATATAGTTTAAGGTTTAGGGTGAAGGTTTGTGGCTTTCGGGTGAGGGTCTCGCCTGGTTCTTTGTCTTGTTCCGTAACCATGGTAAGCTTGGAACTGTCTTGACAGGGCCTCTTCACATCTGAGTTCCACGCGCCGTTGCTGAGGGAGATCGCCTCATGTGGCTTTGAGTTAGTCTCCGGTGGTTTGCTCCGGGTCCGTCGATCCCGAAGCTCTTGCCGTGGGTTTGGTGTGCCATCCGCCTTTCCTGCGCCACCTCCGCCTGAACCTCACGGCGTCGTGCCGTTGTGGTTACCCCCCTCCCCGGCAGCGCTGGGACAGCCCCCGTTTTGCGTGTGTGCCGAAACCTGGTCCCCGGTCGCTGTGGTCGGGTGGAACATGAGTGAGGCACAGCCCGGAGCCGAGTCGAGAACAAAAGTCCACTATGACACCAATGGTCCTAATTCTGCTGGTGTTGGTCGAAAAATTATTGATAAATGCTGTAAACAAAGTCGCAAGACTGACCATAGCAGCAGTTTGAACAGCAATAGTATCCAATCATGCTATTTATCACAACAGGAATGAGAGCAACAATAGCTGTTGGTGATCTATTGATGAGGGTACACGGCACCTGGCTCGCTTGTTTCATGCGATGTGCCAGCAGGATAGGTCGCCGAGACACCGTTGTAGTGGAAACCGTGAGCCCGGAGCGTAACTCGACAGATCCTATAAGCAGTACAAGCCCGACAAACCCGACACCCGAAACCTCGGACTTCTCTGAGCATGCTGGTGAATATCGCCATCAGCTTCTTTGCAATCACTAGTGATATAAACATCAGATTGGTCTTCTTTTGTAAGCCCGATGCACTTGCAGTCCAACGTCCAATGTACCACACGGCCCGTCGTTGTCTCGTGGGCCCCGGCGTTTGTCGAACACTTGATGTTGCAGTGGCAGTGCTTAACATAAGCAGGTTCAAAGCACACAGTAGGATGGGATCAAGCAACACCCCTTTTCAACCGGTGTGGGGCGTATGGATGTCTATGACCTTCCATCACTCGCACGAAGTACTGGAACCTGGGACCCTGCCCAGGTTAGCCTGCCTACGTGTCACTCAGCCGTGGCACCTTGGCCTCGCTTGCCTCTTGAGCTCCAGCTGCCTCAGGCCAGCCAAGCCAAGGGCCCGGAGCTCGGCTCCTGCCTCGCAAAAGTTCGAGAAGCCCAGCCCATTTTCCTCGCACCAGCCGAGGCTTTACAGGTTCGCATCGAGCCTTCTTGCCCAATTTAGCCCACTCAGAGTACTCGCCTCGACTTGGGATGACCCTAGCCTAGTGCTAGAGCAGTGCAGGCCTAGTAGAACTTTTTACACATCTCTCAATCCGACACTTCTATAATTATTCAGCCTTGCCGAATATGGCAGATGCATTCAGCGGTTTTAAGCGTTACATTTAACCTTGTCTGTTCCGGAATCAGCCCTTGTTCTGTTCCTGTCTGTACCGCCGCTGCTCCCGACTCCGCCTCCTGCTTTTCCTGCCTCCTGGTCCCTCTCCGTTCCTGACTGCCTCCTGCTTGTTCTCGACTCTTGCGGCTGGCTCGCCTCCCATCCACTCGAATATCCCCGGAGCCATCCGCCCAGATCATACGGACACCGCCGCCTCATCCATCAGGACGGCTTGGTCGTTTGGGCTGATCACTCGAGCTTTCATATGTGTCATCGTAAAGCTTGATACAGGGTAGCCTTCAACACACAACCCTGCTTGCATTCACGAAAATCGCATATAAACGCTCGACGTCATATACATCGCGCCATTTGGAAAGGATGTCGTCGTATACATCCCTCCATTTGGAGACGGTCTGTCGGGCGATGCTGCCAGATTTGACAGACGCTCCACGTGACTCTTTTCTTTGTGTGTCCTCGTGGTGTTTTCTACCCTGTTTTATGCTAGCATGCGAAAACAGGTCCCAGTTCTGGGTCTGCCTGCACTTGCCAGGCATCCAGACCTCCAACCTGAGCAGCACCCGTGAAAAAGCTAGTGCGTCTTTGCTTGCATGCCTTACAATCACATGCTACATGAACTAGGTAGAGAACGGATAAAAAAACTTCTTTTCAACCGTAGCAAGTTGATGATGTGCAAAACGGGAGCGAGCTGTTGACTGAAGTTCCGCCGTCCCAAAAATATGCAATTGCACGCGCGCTTTGTGGGCTGGAGCACATGTGAACAGCAGAAATATCCGCCGAGGCCACCGGCCCAGGCGTTTTGGGGTTAGCTCAAGTACCCTCCACCTGATCCTCCTCCCTGCGTCGCAAATGGTTGGAACCACCCGCTTTTGGCGTCCATTTTCCACCCCCCGCCCGGCTTCGCTTGATTTTACCTCACTTGTCGGCCTTTGTCTTCTGGACCCCTTCACTTTTTGCTGTTTTTTTTGCGTTTTTTTCCCCCTGCCCTCCCCCACCTCCCTCCCTGCCCTGCCCTCTCCCCACCCAGCTTGGCCCAGGTGACAGGCAGGTAACATTTGGTGCAGTAGAAACTCCTGTCTTCCTCCCACAAACTCTGGGCTTCTGCTGCGGACATGCACCAACGCTACCGACGTGTGTCCCGTGCCCTCTGCCCCTCAGCAGCCGAGGCGGGCGGCGTAGCGTTAAAATACGATGTCATGACTTTAAACATGTTTCTGTCAGCCGTTCTGATTTGCCATAGCAACAGAAATTAACGTTGAGGGCCTGCATTTCTTGTAATGAAGACACCCTGAATTACCATTTCATAGTGCGCAGACTGCAACCATACGTACAACAATACTGAATTGATTGAACGAGAACGTTCTGAGGCCTAGAGTTAAATCAACCTTAGACTTTAACAAGAAAACACAAACATGTTGACCCAAACCCTGTAAGGAATGACTGGGTAAACCAACACACTTTGGAGGGGTTAATTAAGAAGATCACAAGGGCGGCAGATCTTCAACATCATGATTCAACACTGCAGGTTTACGGGAATGACTTAGCGGAAACACTTGTGGTGTCCGAGTGGACTGGGAGTTGTCAAACCGTTTGCTCATCTCATGGAAGTGCTGCAGGCTCCTTCAACCCAAGACACAAAATAAGTCTCTGTCCATGCATTTAACTGGGTCCGGAGTCTCTCAAGCCTTTATTGCATGCGTGGTCTGAAGTTTGACGACAACCTTGCGTTCGAAGCCAGCTGGCTCACTTAGCTTTTTGCTTTTCTCGATTTTAGGCTTGCATGATGGGGTATGTCTTGGATGGTCGATCTCCGAATAGGAGTAGTCAGTTTTTGAAGAGCGAATGCTAACAACGTAAGCAGGAAGGATATGTGGATACTCACCAAGTTGGCATGAGCTCGGAGTCCAAAAGAGGTGCAGCAAATTTTGAGTGACTCGGAGGTGGTGAGTGCGACGAAAGTGCCGCCGGGGGCACGTCTGGTCTTCATCTCGGTCCCTCGAGATAGGCGCAAGTGGAGTGCTCCCGGTATTGTTGATTGAGCTCTGCGGTGAGTTGTAGGTGCGTGGCACCCACCTTGGCCATGTCCCTGGTGCCTTATATTCCAGCTGCGTCGTTTCCATGTGTCTGTGCATGAAAGGCACGCAGCTTGTCTGTCTGGTGTAATTTCGCAGCATCTCGGCTTCAACTCACGGAGCACTCATGGCTGCAGGCGACGCATCTTGCCTGCACTTTCCACCGATGTATTCGCATTCGGGTTGGGCAGTTTGACAGGGCTTCAACAGTCTATGGCTTCAGCAGGCTCTTAGAGAAGAGATTCTGAATATGTCGGTGCGAGGTTGCTGAGCACCTGTGCCGGGACAGTTAACGTCGCGGCTGCTGTTTGGAGTTCCTTGGGGTTTGGGGTTGCGGCGGTTCTGGCCAATGCGAATAGAAATCCGGGGCCTGCCACGGGTGGAGCCCCACCTACGCTTGGTTACAGGGATCTTGGCTTTGTAGCTGTCTCTCGACCACAGATAACTACTGCGGAAAAGCGGACCTGGCAAAACTGCCTATCATGTCGAATCTATTTGGAAGTCCAAGCTCAAAACCTCTGCAAAACCCTCCAGACACCAAGAAAGGAAGGGAGATACACAGCGAGAGGCCGAACCATGGTACCGAGAATTTCACCTTTGGGGGGACTGGATGCGGTAGCATAAATGCAGCCGCTGATACGTTTTGCTGCGCTTTGCTCAGAGACCTCCCCTGCGACTTGAGAAACGCAGCAGGGGCCTATGTTCACTTCAACTTCTTGTGTTCCCGATCTGCAGCAAAGATTCTCTGGCAAGAGCGCTCCCGCTGTGATTTCGTGCCGAGGGGCGACCGGCAGGCCATGCAAAATCTCCTTGTTCACGGCCTGGGATGGCATTACAGAACTGTCGCAGGATGCTCGAAGTGAGACGAAAGGCACACTCCACCGAAATTTACGTGGGGCAGCCCTTGACAGTTTTACTCGAGCGGACGCGCCTGCAAAAACATGGACATGCATACATGCCCAAGCGCGATAAGGCATGAGTCGTGCAAGCGTACCTGCGTGTGTGTCGTCTGGTCAGGTGAGCTTCCCCCCCCCTCCGCGTATCTGCACATGCATGGTTGTACACACACACACACACCATGCATGCATGCGTGCGTGGCCACATGCCTGATTGCTTTCACGTACCATAGCAGGCGCACAACACCGCGGACACACTTTTACCTGCAGTTGGGTTGATGCTTAGGTTTCTCACATGTACGTCCATGTTAGAAAACATGTCAGATCATAATCATATCATCGCATATATCATGTATATATATATATAGAATACATATTATATAGATATATACGTATATGTATATGTATATGTATATGTATATGTATATGTATATGTATATGGATATGGATATGTACGTCCATATATATATATATATCTGTCTGTTTGGTTGTGAATGTTCTTACCGGTCACGGCATACCGTGTTCACGTATCTGCTTCGGTATGTCTCTCTTCGCGCGTGTATGCCAATATATACTGGCCGCCAGGCCTCTGTACATTCCGCAGGTAAATAGATAAATGTCGAATTCTGTTTGCAAGCCGACCTCTTCTGTCAAGTGCCATGTTGTAGGATACAGCGGAGGTCAACTAGTGCATCAGAAGTACAGGTTTCAAAGAGTCACGTCGGCTGTGTGAACGACATATGCATAAGTTGTAGAGCCTCTGGGTTTTATTCTGCTTTCGATGTGAAATGCACAGGGCCCCAACCAACATTAGATCGGCGGCAGTGTCAACGGAGACAGTGCTTTCTGCGTGTAACCAAGGTTGATGAATTCAGGGGGTCGTTTGGACCCCCAATTCTGGGCTCAGTTCCGTTGTTCGTGGTCGCCCGACTGACTATTTCATCACTCTTGACCTGCAGATTCTATAGAATCGTGGTTTTGCTTGGTTAATCCACTCTCGTCTCACCTAGATTTTGGGCATTCTGACCCTGGCGGCATGGAACTTCTACCTCACAGCCGTTGGCTTCTTTGAGCTCCGGTTTCCCGGCCATCAGTGGGCCTTCATCGCATCTATGACGTATCAGGCACGTGCCCAGCATTTTAGTCCTGTCATCCTTCGACACCTGCTGACGTGATGTTCAGAACTTTCAGGCAACGAACGTGCTGGGGACCACCACTATGGTGAAAGTTGGCCAGAAGATTCCCTTCAAGTCCGCGTACGTTATTTCGATCGCGCTGCAACCGCTGATGATTTTGGCTTTGCCCATGCTGGCGTTTTGGAGTGCAGAAGAAGCTGCCTGGCAGTGCTGGGGCTGTCTGCGGTCAGTTCTAGATGACAAATTGGAGAACCTTCAGATTCGTGTCGTCATCAGACTGCTGCAGCCAGGTTGACGGTGATCTTGTGACTCCATCGGCTTGGGGCTTTGCTGCTGCACTGGCTTGCTGCGCAGTGCCCTGAACAAAAGTTGGAAAATCCTAGTTTCGTCCAAGTACTTCTTCTCTCTGTCAGCTGTCCTGTTTGCAGGTCTTGGGGTTGGCGGAGTCCTGCTTTACATCTCTGATCTGCGGGCTTGCGGGGTCTACGGGAGACCCGAAACTTATGGGCGCCATCATGACCGGGCAAGGCTCGGGTAGGCTTGCAGAAGCGAAGATTCATGCATGAGCAGACTCTTTGGAGCTGAAGGCATTGTCGGGGTGGTTCCCCCCATATTGCTGATTTCGTTGAAGTTCTTATCCGGAGATCCCTTGAAATGGAAATACGAGGCAGGGAGCTTTGTGCACCGGCTCCTTTCAGCTGTCGCAGGTCCCTGTCTCATCAGGGGGGGAGAGCGAGTGAGAGAGAGCGAGAGACGACCCCTCTGGCTGTACTGAGGAAGCGGAAGAAAGAAAGAGAGAGCGCGGGAGAGAGAGCTTTTCTTCAGTTGTGATCTCGCTGGCCTCATCTTGAGTATCACTCGTACAGACTTCGGAGACCAGGGTCTTGGCTGTGTGGAAGAAGTGAGAGTGCGTAGCCATTTTGGCTCACGTCGTCGTGCCGTCCTTCTGCTGGGGGGAGCTGCAGAGGTTCTCCCAGCGGCGGCTTGCGACCATCCGCCGACGCATTTAGGCTGCAGTGGCCCTTGTCCGGGGTTGCCGTGCAGCCATCGAGCAACGCGGTGAGTCTGCACCACTACGCGTCCTCGACTTCCCGGCCCACCCCGGCGAGTTCGCCGACCGCGAAGCAGGACGTGAACTACAATGGGACGCAGAAGACAGCGACACCCAGAGAAGCGAAGCACGTGAGTTCAGCAGCCCAGAGGGGGCCGACCCCCCTCCCTCCTCCACTTTCCCTACCGCCAGCACGCAAAATGACTCACACGCTTCCGGACCGACTGCAGGCACCTGCAAGACCATGCGGGAGCCCAGCCAGGCGCAAGTTGCAGCGAGGACACCTCCGCAACGAGCACCCGCAACGCAGCAGGGGACCAAGGCCAAGATCGAGATGACGTGATGCGTTCCGGGACATCATGGGCCGGAATGAGACTAAGCAGGTAGTCGCGAAGGAGGTGAAGTTCAATGCGGTTAGGGTTTAGAGTCAGTTCATCGCATTGAGGACGTCCCAAGCCCCCCCAGAGTGTCGGGAGAGCAGTCCATTGAATCCACATCCGATTCGCCAAGTTTCCCCAGAATCTGCACAATTGTCCCTGGTGGGAGGTGGCAGCTTGGCGGAGGGAAGTTTGTTGGGCGCCAGGGGGCCGTCCACCTGCAGGCAAAGCTTTGATCCTTGTACCGCTCAGTAAAATCCAATACTGGGTCAGCATTTAAGTCCAGAGCATCATCCACGGCATGAGGCACCTACCACTCTTTACAGCAGCTCTGCTGCTAGCAGAGTGCATTTGAGCCGTGGAAGTTAGAGAACGAGAGAGACACAGAGCAGAGGACACGATCATGAGTGACAAGGGCATTGGGAGCAGTGTCATATAGTAGTGGGTGAGCGAGGGAGCGTGCTTTTGAGAATACGAAGTGGGAGTTAGAGGTTGCAGCCTTTGAGATTATTCCCCCGGTCCTGCAAGTATTGAATCATTTCGATGACTGAACTCTGCTGTTGACTTCGACAAGGCCAAATTGATTTTGCGAAACAGGAAGTACAGGCACAACTGCCTCCTAGGCCTACTCGAGGAAGGCGGGTCAGGCATCCAGGACTCACGATGACTCACGATCTGTTGCTGAAGTTGGACTTGTCCCAGGCACAACAGCCTGAGATGCTTGGAAACTGTTTAAGATGGAAGCCCCGCTATGCACAGGGTCTTCGTCAGTCCTGTGCGATAGAGCTGCTGATGTGGTGCACAGGTCGTGTTCTGCTTCTTTGGCACCTGTGCTGCATTGCAAGCCCTTGGCGCGTACCTCGTTCGCTATGTGCCCATCCCCCACGAGGACTTGCCTTGAGAAGTTGAAACGGACGATTACCAACAGAGTCTTCCGAGCCCGACTGGTCAGGAGAACAGACGGCCGCCCGCCACGATGGTGGAAGTGGTAAGCTTCTGTGCGCCGGCAAAGACAAGTCCTGGTGTGTCGTTCGCATGTGACGGTGGCTTGGTGCCGAGGCTCTTACAGCAACTCAGAGCCGTCAGAGCCCGCTCGGCAACTTATCTCCGGAGAGCGATCATTTGGCCCCGTCCTCAAGGCTGGAGATCATAGTAGGACCAGTAGCGCACTTCTTCTTTCCCAACCTAGTCTTTTCGCAGGATGTGATCCCTCAGCTCGTGAACGTGTCGATGGTTTTCGTGACTTCGGCTGTCTTTGTGTTAAGTCCGTCAAGCTCGTGTGCAACACTGTTCAGGATTTCGGGACTGTTGGTTGCTTGGCAGCATTAATCAGGAACTAGTGATTGTAAGGTGGTGACCTTTGTGGTGTTCCCCGGAGTGGCCGCAAGCTGGTCTCCACAGCTGGAGATTTTCGTCAGCAAAGGCATTTTGGCGGCCGATAGCTTTGTTCGAGTGCCAACTTGTTGCATGTCGTGTGCTCAAGCTCAGGTACCTTGGGCAAGGACTGGTATACAACCCTGGTGGTTGGAATATTTCAGATATTTGATGTGGTTGGACGGTCGACGTTCAAGGTAGGAGCGAAAACTTGTTCACAAGTCGCAAGTCATTCCTGCAGAGCCTTCCTGCTTGGCAGGCCTTTGAGAAGATCGGCGTTTCCCCGAAGACGCTCGCCATTCCGGTGTGGCTTCGCTTGGCCTTCATTCCAGTGCCTTGGCATCCCACGTGCGGCCATGTTCGCGTAGGTGGAGGTTTGCTTGTACCAAGCATGTACGTCAGGAAGGGGAAGGGATGTTTTCCTATTGTGCTGAACGAATTAGCTACACGGACGTGTTGCAGCCTTGTTTCGCCCCTAGGCCTTTATGCTGCTGCAGCGAAGACCGAACTCAATTGCGGCTCCCTGGCAGGCGTCGGCACTCACTAATCAGCAGCGGTGAGCACTCTCGTTGCAGACATTGTGGGTAGTGAGATCACTGGCCAGGATCTGTTGGCCTTTGCAGTCATGGCACTGTTTGCTTTGACCAATGGCTGGTGTAGCACTCTCTCGATGATGTACGGGCCGCAGCAGGAATCTTCGCTAAACTTGGCCTGTGCTTTGAGTTCTCCTGACTTTCTTGAGCTCAGAGGTGACGCACCCCGCCGAGCAGCATAGGGCTGGTGTTATCATGGAGCTGGGCCTTATTCTGGGCATCTTTGCAGGTGCGAGAGTCGGATGCTGTAGGCAAGCTGTAGGATTGACAGCATGCTGGCCTTGCAGCCTTGCAGGCAGCGTCCTGGCTTTGCTCACACAGCTCGGTCTTCACTGAAGCTCGTTGAATCTCGAAGTGCTTTTTGAAGCTTCGTGCTTTCTGCCGCAGCTTTCGGGCTGCCTTGTTTCCTTTTAGCTGGCATCCCCCGAGGGGAGCCAGCTGTGGTGGTCCACACATCCACCACATTTAAGGTGCTGCACGGGATTGCACGCGGGCTGATTTCTGGGGCTGCGCTGCGAGGGCGTGCACCAGAAAGCGGGCAGCCGAAGCTGATCGCAGCAAAACTTGCTATGGAGCTTGCCAGAGACCTGTCGAGCTGCAAATAACTGACAAGGCTGACATGCGCCATGACGAGTTGCTGCGACTAGGCATGGTACTTGCAGTGGGTGACGGGACAGTATGACGGGGAGTCGTCGCAACAGGAAAGTTTGGAAGCTGGCTCATCAAGCTGGTGCCTCAGGGCAGCGCGCTGACTCAGAAGGTCTGATGGTTGTGCCAATCTGGAGCTCAAGGCGTTTGTCTCCCAGACCGGTATTCTTCCTGATCCCCGGGGCTATCGCCAAGGCCGCGAGTGTTGCATAACCATTCGGTGACTTGATCTTCTTACTTGTTCTCTACGAGGGCCCCCCGGCAGCATTGAATGCAGCCACTTGCGCATGCCACCAAGTCTGAAGAGATGAAAACTGCAGAGTCAGCAACGCTCACTGACAGCGACCACCGAGGCCTGGCCTCTGTATGTGGAGCTGTGCACGGACATGGTGCTGCTCGCTTCAGAGCGGTGGCAAAAATCACCTTGGGCTGTCTTCTCAGACATCGCAGTGATGGTCTTTGTCACGAGGAGCCCAGTGGAAGATGTCAAAGCCTCGTCAGGCCCGCATGGATGCCCTCATGGCCGTGTGGGCCAAGACTCCGATGTATTTGCTGCCGGAGAAGTGCCCTTCTGGCTGACGGCGTTCTGCGACTTTTGCACTAGTCCATCGGTCAGAGACATCGTAGCAGGTACCAGCCAGCAGTAGCTCTCCCAGATGCATCAAGTGCAGCTCCAGCGGCTCCGGAGGCCTATGTACAACTCAAAGCTCCATCACATGATACACGTGCATCCGCTCGCAAGGAGGATGCGAAGGCCAGCGCATCCACGGAGCCGCTGAGTTTCAGCATGGAGGACTTTGAGGGCGTCCTAGGCCCTAGGCCGAAGGCACAAGGCCCGTGGTCCTCTGAGAGATACCAGGAGCCCTTTACCATCTCCAGACCTGTCGAGGAGGGGACTCTCAGCTTTTGATTCTGGGTCAGGTGGAGTGCGAAGATGTGGCGAAGCCTTTCTCCCTGGCAGGGCCTCTCCAACCCCTCGGCACTGTTGGTCGGCCTCTGTGACAGGGCAGGGGAGGCTGAGTTCCTAAGCTCCTTGTCGAGTTCTGTGTTGCAGCCAGTGGAGGCGGAAGGAACAGGCGGCGCAAAGGTCGGGGACCATTAAATCTCCAGATTATCGGACGTCGACGTTGGAGCTGTGCAGCCGTGTCTCCAGAACCTAAGGTTCAAAAGCCGACGCTGGCTGTCAAGCGGCTGGGATGACTGCGGGTAGAGAGAAAGCCCTCGCGTTGCGTGCAGTCACTGCCGAACTTGTTGCACACCGTTTTTGTTCGATAGCAGATGACATTGTCTGGCTGTGAGGCCCAAGACATGGCCATGCTATGAAAGGCTCAGGCAGCTAATGGCCCAGCAGCGAATCTGCAGTCCTCACCTGTGCACGACCAACAAACTGCGGAGAACAGCCAGGCTAGGCTCGAAAAAAAAGCCCCGACAAAGACCGAGCCTCCAAAGGAGGACCCGGCAATCCGCCTGTGCTGACCGAGCATCCCCAATGGACCGCAGTGCGCAGCTGAGCGACTACGCGACTGCGCGAGGCTCTCAGCTCAAGTGAGGCAGCTCAAAAACCGAGGAGTCCATACAGCAAGTATTGAAGTATACTGAAGTATTCAATATGCCAAAAGTTGAAAGAGGCCCGAACGAAGAGCCAAGAGCCTCGTGGACTTCTTGTTCTGATATTGACGTTGGAGCCACCAAACCATTGAACATGTGCTAGTTCAATCGAAGTCTTAACGGTGTCTGATGGTGGCCAAGCCTTGAACTTCGCGGACTGGGGACTGTCCCGTTTGTTCGCCCACCTGCGAATCAATGGCACGTATGAAATATTGGCTCTCTTTCGAAACATCTACTGCGTTCCGGAGTCTCTCAAGCTTTCAGTGCATGCTCGGTCTGAAGTTTGCGGCCAAGCTGGATTTCATTTTGTTTTTGCTTCGATGCGTCCGCCTCGGCCCGGGGGACTCGAGGCAGGTGCATTGTTTCGGAAAGCAACCTTGAGTGAGCATTTGTTTCAGAATGTTTTAGATGTCAGCATTTGTTTTCATGCTGAGGCTCTGAGCAATACTCCCACGCGAAAGGTGGCACATTCCCTGCAGTATCCCATAGAGGTTACCAACAATGGTATCACACTTCTCACTGGTCTCGTATACAACCTCCCATATGGTGGAAGGGGAATCAAGCTTTGCAACGAAGTACATGACACAGCCCCAGAATTGCCAGGCTTTGGCATCTGCTTCACGTATGATGTAAGCTAGCCCGTCTTGCGTTGTCGCAAGTAAAAGACAAGGGAAGCGGGGCGAGGCGGGGGGGGTGGGGATTAAGAGGTGGGGAAACTGGGAATCAGCGAGTTTCGAAAGCATTATAGTCTTGCCGATTGCTTATACGACAAGACCTCGTTTTCCCAAAGGGTCCAACGTACTTTTTACAGTAGGATGTAGGTTTCTTGCTTTCGGAATCATTATGATGATTTGGGAAAGTGTCCCCCGCAACAATACCTAGGGTTCTTTGAGACAATAGGAGCTTGCAGATGCATCCTGAACCTGGCAGGATCATGAATTACATGCCTGATTCGAAGGATTCGAACGTGGTGTTTAGGGTTTAAGGGTTTAGGGTTTAGGGCTGGAGGAACCACAAGAGTTTCATGGGTGTAGTTACGAAAGTTTTTTCCGTGGGAGGGGACCACCCAGAAACTGTCCCAAAGCGCCCTCCGTTTTCGAGCCAACCCCCAGGCCATGAGGTGTTTCAGGCGCAGGCGTGGGCCGAGCGGGCTCGTTTCGGGGCTGCACGCGGGACTCCAGGAGAGACATCGTTTTGGAGAAACGGGACCCCGATGATGCTGATGATGCCTGGTCCCGGGGGGGTGACGTGCAGCGGCAAGCGAAAAAGGAGTAACAGTATCGCCCATCTCCGTCCTCTTCCGCCCCCGCGCAGCCTGCCCCCGGTTTGTGAGCTTTCGTCCCCCCGCCCCCCCCCTTTGGGGTGCAAGTTGAGTGTTGAGACTAGACAGACGTCATTTGCGGCTTACGTGACATGAGCGACTGCCGGGCCGATGTTGCAACAAAAACCTCAAAAAGGACATGGTTTACTTAGCAAGGACCCTGGCAAAGGCCATACTCTGATCACTACATAGAACCCTACGTGCATCGGCCCAAGTTCTCGGATAGTCGATCTGCGGACAAGCCCCCTCAAGTCTTTCGTGCATGCAAACAATGCAAGGAGGAAGGACACGTGGAAAAGCATCAAGTGCTGGCATGAGCTTTGAGTCTAAACTCGATGCAGCAAACTTCGGGTGACTTGCAGGTGGTGAGTGCAACGAAACTGCCGCCGGGAGCACGTTTGGTCTTCCGAGGCACAAGTAGAGCCTTCCCAGGCATTGTTGGTTGAGCTGCGCGGTGAGGCCCATCTTGCCCAAAATCCCTGGTGCCTTACAGTCTTGCGGGCTATGTCGTTGCCATTCGTCTGTGCATGACCGGCATGCACCTTGTCTGTCTGGTTTAATGGCGCAGCATCACGGCTTCAATTAACGCAGCAGCCATGGCTGCAGGCGGCGCACTTTGCCTGCACTTATTTGCCATTGGCGGTCCACGACTTTAGGCATAATTACTCGCGTACGATGTGAAAGGGCTCCCTAAGAACACCTCGGTGAGAGGGTTCTGGGTACACGCACCTGTGGCGGGATGTGCGGCTCGTGTCGCTTTTGCGTTGCTGGAGTGCCTTGGGATTTGGTGGATTGGTACTGTACCAGCAGACCAAGCGGAACCCCACGTGCTGGTGCACCTGTTGCACCTCGTCCTAGCTTTGTCACGGCGCGGTGCAGCAGGGCACATCAGGCGAAAGAGACAGTTTCTGAAGTTTACGCTGCTGGCATTACAGGCTCGTCGCTGCCTCTCGAATGCGTGAAGAAAAGGACAGGACCTCACCGAAATGCCCATCATGTCGAATCTATTTGGAAGTCCAAGCTCAAAACCTCTGCAAAACCCTCCAGACACCAAGAAAGAAACAGAGATACAGAACGAGAGGCCGGACCACGGCACCGAGAATTCCACCTCGGGGTTGACTGGATATGGCACACTAGCACAAGTGCAGCTATTCAGAGAGACTTCCCTTGTGATTTGAGAAATCGCAGTAAGGGCTTGGGTTCATTTCAACTTCTTGTGTTCCCCGATCTGCAGCAAAGATTCTCTGGCAAGAGCGGTCCCGCTGTGGCACTTCGTGCCAAAGCACACTGCGTACAGTGGGGCCGTAGCCAATTTCAAGGCTGAGCGGCGATCGGCCATGCAAAGTCTCCTTGTTCACGGTCGGGGAACTAGAGAATATTGATCTCTGCTGGGAGACCTTGAGCTCTGGGGGCCCCATCAGCCTTCCCAGCTTCCCAACTTTCTGGACAACAGGATGCTTGAAGAGAGACGAAAGGGACGCTCCACCTAAAGGGATGGAGGGAGCGAGCAGCCGAGAGGCATGCAGCTTGAGGCGTTGACGCATTCTTGAGTACTCGAGCAAGCATGCACATGCAAAACACGATAATGCACGTGTTGGTCAGGTCTCTGCTGCTGCTCCCCTCTTTGTATCTCTTATCATGCATAGTCGTACATACATGTACAAGTGTGCGCTCTAGCCATGCATGCATGCACGCCTCTGCCCGCCGCGCGTGCTCAAAGCCTCCTTGCAGGTACAATACACATGCTTTATGCCTGTGCCTTTTTTCGGCGTCCTCATGCAGACTCATGCACTTGCAGCTGCATCCTTTTCAACAGATTTGCGCACAGCACTCGCACATGTGCAACATCCACAAGTACATTCATCCTTGCATACGTGCACCCATACTCCTACGTACAAGAGTGCATGGATGTACACCAACATACACGAGCAGGTGAGGTGCACTTACAGTCGCAAGATCATGTATGATTGCATGCCTCTATTGAAAGGCGCCTGTTTTTGAGTGTTCTTGCCATATACCGTTTACCTATGCTTGCATACATACCTTTTGGATATTTCTCCTTTCGCGAGTGCATACCAGCAAGTATTGGCGGCCAAACACCTGTACCTTCCACAGATAAACGTCATATTCTGTTTTATTTACACGGCCAGCACATGATCAGTCAATGGCGTGAGATGTACCCTGTACTTTGCTAAGTCATACAGGCTGCTGCGAGCACGTCTGGGTTTCCTGTTTGACCATTCTGCTTTGGATCTGAAAAACTCGTTAAATGCTCAGGACCCCCGCCCTTCCCGACAGTGACGAATAAGATCGGTGGCAGTGTCAACGGAGACAGTGCTTGCTGCATGTAACCAAGGCTGATGAATTGAGGGGGTCGTTTGGACCTCCAATTCTCGGCTCAGTTCCGTTGTTTGTGGTGGCCCGACTGACTGTTCATCACAGATAAGATGCAGACAGCTTCAATCGAATCGTGGTTTTCCTTGGTTAATCCACTCCCGTCTCACCTAGATTTTGGGCATTCTGACACTGGCGGCATGGAACTTCTACCTCACAGCGGTTGGCTTCTTTGAGCTCTGGTTTCCGGGCCACCAGTGGGCCTTCGTCGCGTCCATGACGTATCAGGCACGTGCCCGGCCGGCATTGCAGTCCTGTGGCCGTTCGATATCTCCGGACTGCGATATGATGTCCAGAGATGGCAGGCAATGAACGTACTGGGGACCACCACTATGGTGAAAGTTGGCCAGAAGATTCCCTTCAAGCCTGCATACGTTATGGCGCTTGTGCTCCAACTGCTGATGATTCTAGCCATGCCAATGCTGGCATTTTGGAGTCCCGAAGAAGACGCCTGGCAGTGCTGGGGCTGTCTGCATCAGTTCTAGATGACAAACTGCACTTCAGATTCGTGCAATCATCAGACTGCTGCTGCCAGGCTAACGATGATGTTGTGACTCCCTCGACTTGGGGCTTTGCTGCTGCACTGGCTTGCTGCGCAGTGCCCTGAACAAAAGTTGGAAATCCTAGTTTCGTCCAAGTCCCTCTAGTCTCCTGTTCGCAGGTCTTGGGGTTGGCGGAGTCCTGCTTTACATCTCTGATCTGTGGGCTTGCGGGGTCCACGGGAGACCCGAAACTTATGGGCGCCATCATGACCGGGCAAGGCTCGGGTAGGCTTGCAGAAGCGAAGATTCATTCATGCATGAGAAGACAGCTGAAGGCATTGTCGGGGTAGTTCCCCCCATATTGATGCTGTCGCTGAAGTTCTTATCTGGAGATCCCATGAAATGGAAATACGAGGCAGGGAGCTTTGTGCACCGGCTCCTTTCATCTTGCCTCAGATCGCAAGGGACAAAGGGGGAAGAGGGAGGGCGAGAGAGATGCCGCGCGGGGTAGCGAACGAAGATGCGCTTCTCTAGTGCTGGAAGCGATCAAGCAAAACCCACCCGCGGCTTGATAACAACAAGTTGCAACACTCTAGCACGAGCAATCAGAGTGCTTGAGGGGCACTCACCGCAAAAGCATTCTCTGGTCCTAAGTTGCAGCAAAAACAGTGCGTGTCGCATCAAGACGCAGAGGAAGATTTACAACACGTCGTGTCAAAAAATGCATTCCGAACATCTTGTCTGTATTTTGTGGTTTCTGGACACGCTCTTAGTGTGATGTAGAGAGAAGGTGGAACCTTGGTCACCTGACGCGAAAGTGACTCCGAGGGGGGGATTGCGTAGCCGGCCGGTTACAGGGTGGACCGTCTTGACCCGTGGCGACAACGGAATGGGCTGCATCACTGCTGCTTGCATGTTTTTGCCGAACTTTTTTACTGCACAAGCCCTGCCGATGAGGGTGACGTGTGCAAAACCAGCCAACACAGGGCGGTCACGCTGACATGGACACCGGAGACAAGGAGGACACTTTATTTGCACGCACAATGAGCGAGCAAGGTGCGCATTTCCGTCGCACAGATCAGTGGGGTCAGACAAGGGGGAGTCAGCTCACGTTCACTTCGCTCGAGGGTCCATCTCCTCACCAAGTAGGAGGTGCCTGCATCGGGCGCCGGACGACACATATTGGTGGGGACATGACCATGCACATCTACAAAGGAGCGCGGTACACCTTGAGTGAAGACTACCTGTGGTAGGGCGTGATATTCTGGAGAGCCTCCTGGAGAAATGCAAACGGGCGGCGAAAGCCGCAGATTTGCCATGCACAGGGCACACGACGTTGACGGTTTTGTGTGACAGAGCTGCTGATGTGGCAGACAGGTCGTGTTCTGCTTCTTTGGCACCTGTGCCGCATTGCAAGCCCTTGGCGTGTTCCTCGTGCGCTACGTGCCAACCTTCCACCAGGACTAGGCTGTTGTCGCGACATGAAGCCGAAAAGGACGACCAGAGCTGAGTCTTCTGATCCTGGCCGATAAGGAGAACAGACACGCAGACGCCACGATGGTGGAAGTGGTAAGCATCGGTCCACTAGCAGAAACGAGATCCGGTGCCTGGCTCTCTCGGACACACCGGATGTGGCTTGGTGCTGAGGCTCTTTCACCACTTCCGAGCCAGCAGACCCTGCTCGGCAACTTATCTCCGGAGAGCGCTCGTTCGGCCCCATCCTCAAGGCTGGACATCCGCACCTGTGCACCTCTTCTGTCCAAATCCACTCGTTCCCTCAGGATGTACTGCCTCAGCTCGTGAACGTGACGATGATTTTCGTGACTTCGGCTGTTTCGGTGTTAAGTCCGTCAAGAACTGTGCAACTGCGCAACACTGCTTAAGAGCTTAAGATGTCCTTCAAAAGTATTGGTGACTAGTGAAGGTGGTGACCTTTGTGGTGTTCCCCGGTGTGGCCGCAAGCTGGTCTCCACAGCTGGAGTTTTTCGTCAGCAAAGGCATCTTGGCGACTGATTGGTTTGTCTTGATGCGAGATTGTGGCAGGCAAGTGCTCGTTGAAGCTGAGGTGCTTTGGGTAAGGATTGGTATACAACCCTTGTGGTTGGAATATTTCAGATATTTGATGTGGTCGGACGGTCGACGCCAAAGGCAGGGGCGAAAAGTTGCTGGCAAGTTACAAGTCATGTCTGCGGAGCCGTCATGCTTGACAGGTGCTCGAGAAGATCGGAGTTTCCCCGAAGAGGCTCGGCATTCCGGTGTGGATGCGTTTGGCCTTCATTCCAGTGCCTTGGCATCGCACCTACGGATATGTTCGTGCACATAGCGGATTGCTTGCAACAACCACGTGTGTCAGAAAGAGCAAGAGAGGCTGTCTTCATTCCCTAAAGAGTTTGGTATGCACATGGGCCTCTACGCTCAGTGTAAAGGGACTTGGTCAGCGTGGCCGCACGGCCGCCTTGATGAGGATCCGTGAATCCCGCCAGTTCCAAGCGGCGCCCGAGATGCCTTTTGAGGTGATGTGAGGTGTCTGCGCCAGTACATGGAGGAGCAGTGCCCGAGACATTCCGTGGTCAGGTGTGAAAATGAAATCCCGGCATGGGGAGAAGCATTTTGGCCATTGGGCCCGAATCCAGCTGGTGGTCGCCTGCTAGTCTTTTCGTCTTGTCGCGTGGTTTTTTCCTAAGTGTCCACGGTCCCTGCATCTGCTCCACTTGGGTCTCCTGGTGGCCTTCTGGTAGCCTTCTGGTGGTCCGTGGTGGTCCGTTGTTGTCGTGGTGGTCATGGCATGTTGCTCTGTCTCTGTGTGGGGATTCACCGCGGCATATCTGGATGTTGCAGCCTTGCTTTGCCCCTAGGCTTTTATGCTGCTGCAGCGAAGACCGAACTCAATCGCAGCTCCCTGGCAGGCGTCCGTGCTCACTACTCGTCAGCAGCAGTGAGCACTGCCATTGCAGACATTGTGGGTAGTGAGATCACTGGCCAGGATCTGTTGGCCTTTGCAGTCATGGCACTGTTTGCTTTGACCAATGGCTGGTGTAGCACTCTGGCGATGATCTACGGGCCGCAGCAGGAATCTTCGCTAAACTTGGCCTGTGCTTTGAGTTCTCCTGACTTTCTTGAGCTCAGAGGTGACGCACCCCGCCGAGCAGCATAGGGCTGGTGTTATCATGGAGCTGGGGCTTATTCTGGGCATCTTTGCAGGTGCGAGAGTCGGATGCTGTAGGCAAGCTTTAGGATTGGCAGCATGCTGGCCTTGCAGCCTTGCAGGCAGCGTCCTGGCTTTGCTCACACAGCTCGGTCTTCACTGAAGCTCGTTGAAGCTCGAAGTGCTTTACGAGGCTTCGTGGCTTCTTGCAGAGCCTCCGGGCCGCTATGTTCCTATGTATTGTTTGTTTTTGCTGGCATCCCCCGAGGGGAGCGCCACCTCCAACAGAAGCAGCAGCCATGTTCCACACATTCGTCACTTTTAAGACGTGCTGCTGCACGAGTACATTTCTGGGGCTATGCTGCGAGGGCGTGAGCCAGAAAGCGGCAGCCGGAGATGATCCCAGCAAAACCTGCATGGAGCTTGCGCCAATCGCTGGGAGTCACAGAAATACCAGGGTGCTTGCACCATTACCCGACCTCCCGAGGAACCACGGTGCGAAGTGCAAAGTTTTGCGAAGCAGTGCTTTCAGTCCCTGACAAGGCGTCTCCGTCGGCCTCTGTGACAGCGGAGGCCGAGCTCCGAAGCGTTCTGTCGCAGTGGCCAGTTGCAGCTGTGCAGCCGTGTCTCCAGAACCTAAGGTTCAAAAGCCGACGCTGGCTGTCAAGCGGCTGGGATGACTGCGGGTAGAGAGAAAGCCCTCGCGTTGCGTGCAGTCACTGCAGAACTTGTTGCACACCGTTTTTGTTCGATAGCAGATGACATTGTCTGGCTGTGAGGCCCAAGACATGGCCATGCTATGAAAGGCTCAGGCAGCTAAGGGCCCAGCAGCGAATCTGCAGTCCTCACCTGTGCACGACCAAACTGCAAAGGAGAACAGCCAGGCTAGGCCCTAGGCTCGAATTACAGCCCCGACAAAGACCGAGCCTCCAAAGGAGGACCCGGCAATCCGAAGCCGCTGGCTGACCGAGCGTCCCCAATGGACCGCAGCAGTGCGCAGCTGAGCGGCTGCGCGGCTGCGCGAGGCTCTTTCTCAAGTGCATGCCTGCATGCCTTCCATCTCAAGGGCTGCAATGCGACGCCGCAGAGGCGGAGGGCCGGGAGCCCAAGCTTTCCTGAGGTGCAACAGGCAGCCAGCCAGCCTCTTTTCAACTGCTCGTGCGTCGAAGTGGGCTCAGAATCACTGCTCCTTTGGTACCCACCTGCGCACCCATGGTGCACCACCTGGTGTTGGGCAACACTGCAACTCCCGCGAAAGACGGCAAGCGATACAATTGGACGTTTTACGTCCGGGGTGCCACAGACTTCCTTGATTCGGTGACGATCAAACTGCATCCAACCTTCAAAGATCCTGTGCGGACTTGTGATGCAGCCCCCTTCGAGTTCAAGTCAAGGGGACCCTCAGTTGCAGCTTGTGGGATTTTCCCCCCCCGCTTCGTCTCTCACGCCGACATCTAAGGTTGGGGAACCTTTGAGATTGCCGTTCTCTTGAAGTTCAAAGAGGGCACGAGTCTGAGGACATCTTGGGAGCTTCAGTTCGATCAGGAGGACGCGAGCGGGCAGCTGGAGGTGCCCTCCGGCATAGTGGCTTCGCTGTCTCCTCCAAGCAGCGCCGAGACAGGGACGCTCCCCCCTCCAGTCAGTCCACCCCCCCCTCCTCCCCCTCCTCCTGCACCGACAGATGACAGGGATGGTGCAGAGTCGCACAGTGACATCTATGGTGTTCGTGGCAGCATCGAGGGCTGTGACTCCACGGACGAGGCAATCCTCGAGCCCGACACCGCAGAGCCTGCAGAGTCCAGCCCGCCGCCGCCACCAGAGCTGCTGCGAGACGCTTGAAAAAACATTTCGACAGCTTTTCGCCACGGGGGTAGGTTTTGGGTAGCTCTTGTGCTGAGGACACCAGTGAGGGCAAGGCCGACGACGACCCTGCCCGTGCAAGCGTTTGCAAGAGGCTCCGCGAGAGCGCCTTCATGGACCCTTCAGACCCGCGCTTCATGTTCGGACGAGGCTACACGGGTCCTCTACATGCGCCGAAGGTAATTTGGAAGAGCAGCCAACCACCCCGGAAAGACCATTCCTGCCCGAAGTGGCTCACAGCCACGGAGTTCGAGGATCAGCCGGAGGTCAGGGCTGGTCAGGGCTTCTCCCGCATCTGAGACGCGTGTCTTTTGTGTCAATGAGGTCTGCTGGCCAAGTTCTCGTGCGTTGCTTCCATTCGCCGCGGTTCCGCAGGTGGCGGTGGCAAAGGTCAAGGAGCTGGCTCAGCTCATCAAGCTGTCGCGGAAGACTGTGGCCTACACTGGTGCCGGCAACCGGTCCTCTCTTAGAAACCCTCAATTACAAAACCCAGTTTAGAAGAGAAAATGCCATGCGCGGTGCTGAAGGCGCTCCTCTTTCTGAGGCATCTCCGCCGCGGTGATTGGGCAGGCGGCCCTTTCTGGTCAGAACACCGTGGGATGGAAGAACAACACGCGCGCAGCCCCGCCAACCTTTACACATCACGCCTTGGGATTTTTGGGACTCTTGTCTGGAACCCTGAGAAGGGGAAGGGGAAAGCAGGGGAAGAAGGGTTGGGGGGCTCCGGGTGCCAAATCCGAGGGCGGCAAGGTTTGCTTCATGGCTGGGTCCAGCAGAACCACGATGGCCTCCCACAGAAGGCCTAGTTAAATTAAGGGAACGGGAGGGGCAAAGTGTTGCCTAAAGTGCATCTTCCTCCGCAAGGCCGGATTCCCTCAAGAGCGAATCAATGAGATCCACGGCAGTTGGTACGACCCGAGCAACCCAGCGGCTCGTCTTCTTTTTGCGTCTACGTCCAATGTTGTTTTCGCTGCAAGATCAGGTGGTGAAGTACAGTGGCACCCTCCATGACAAGTCTTATCCATGGATGCGGGAAGATGCAGAGACGGCTGACCTCTGCCTGGTCCTTGGCACGAGCCTGGGCGGCCTCAACGCCGACCAGGCGAAGGTTGGGAAAATCATTCCTTGTGGTCATGCTGCTCTCTGGTATGTCCTGTAGGTCGCCACGAAAACTGCTGACCGAACGCTGCTGCCACCAGCGCCGGGGGCAGGCGTTCTGGCACCAGGTGCCTGGATCTCGCTTCGGCGGCCGGGTGGTCTCAAGGGCCTGGTCACGGCGGTAGGAGAAAAGACGATTCAGGTACGTTTCCGTGAAAGCGATGAGGACTCGGGGGAAGAGGATGACCGCTTGGCAGAGCCTGTCACGCTTCCACGAGACGAGCGTTTCGAGGTGATTCCATCAGTGGGCGGTGGCTTGGGCACCGTGATCCTGAACCTGCAGCAAACAGCGCAGGACGGGAAGATGACCTTGCGTCTCTTCGGCAAGTCGGATGACATTCTGCGAATGCTGCTGCCGGAGCTGGGCTTTGGCCTGAGCATCGTGCGTCCCCCGGTCTGGCCCAGGCAGGAGCGAGCGCTGGTGCCCTACGACAAAGACGGCCGGCGCTTGCGCTCGGGCTCGGGCAAGCGGATGTGGCTGGACCTTCAGAAAGGGCAAGCGGTGCGCATAACGCCCGGCCACAACATCCAGGGGGCCAAGCAGCCTGCATACATGCATATCGGGGCCAAGAAGCCAATAGTGGTGAAGGGAGAGACACGGCAACCGGGTGTTGGAGTCGGAACAGTGTTGAACCGCTGCAATACAACCTGCAGCTTCATCTTGCAGATCGAAGGGGTCCAGATGCGCTTAGGCATTTGGTGGCTGGAGAGTGCCATGAGAGGTGGAGTGACCCACTTGCCAATCGTGAACCGAGATCCCGTCTTCGAAGACTAGCAGTGACTGGCATAGCATTTCAAGACGTCGCAGGCACCATCAAGCCCAGGGGCTCCAGAGCGAGCAGTGCATCTGGCACGAAGTCCATCTCGGCCGAGGTCTTCTAAGAGGTTCCTTGGCCGTGCCATTGTACAGCTGGCAGTCAGATGGAAAAGCCCGAAAGGGTGTGCAGGCATGACCATGGAATCTACTTGAACGTAGCCCCTCCAAATTGCCCACCTCCGTGTTGTGCTCTGAAGCTTGCGACCGTTACACAAGGCCTGCGCCTTTGCTGGATAATCCAAGTGTGGCGCTGTGCACCGGCTATTGTTGGCTGCTTCGGTCCTGTGACTTTCGTGACGCTAAGTCCGAAGGCCAGGAGGCATCAACTCATTCTGATTATGTCAGGTGTGTAATCTCGATGGCCATGGACTTTTTCCTCTTCTTTGTAAGTTCACTCGGGGAGACTCGGATGCAGGAGTTGCAGTCTATTTTTGCATTGGTGTGTGAGGGACTTGCTGCGTCTTTTTGCCGACCGGGCGTAGCTGCACGCCCGCGTCCCTCACTGCACCAGCACCGTCTTGCGCTCGCTCTTTTGCGCGAGGTGATCTTTGCAAGCTTGTGGCGCTCTTGGCAATGAGCCTTTTGTATGTGGCGAGACCATGGCAATGGCTCCTCTCAGATTGCGACAAAGCTGCGACATACCGCTGTGGTGGTTCCTCGCGCTGGTGGGCGGCTGCCCGAGACAGCCGGAGAAGGGGACGCGGTGGGGCCGGGTCCGGTCCGGGGCTTCTTTGGCGCTCAAACAGGTCTTGTGGCCTCCGTCAGTGCGGTGCTCTATGCCAAGATGGCCTGGACGGAACATGGCAGTGACAGGAGCCCGAATTGCGCTTCCGTGAGTCATTAAGTCGTCGGAGTGCCAGGACATGGACCATTCATGGTTTTCTGGCTTTTGTCGGGAGCCTCGACATCTGCGCAAGCAGAAAGGTCTGAGGTTTATGGCATCTTGCGAGGTCGTTTTCCTCGTGCAGGGCGGCACGATGGTTTGGGGCGGATATCTCTGCTGGCTTGTGGGCCTCTTGGAAGGCCTTGTCGCGAGGGAGCTGCTTGGCCTTTCAAAGCGAGTTTCAGGCCTTGGCAAGCTCAGAGTGCGCCGTTGTCGCTGCCTCAGGAAAGGACATACTTTAAACGTCTGGGGAGTGACTTATGGTGTCTTCCGAAGTTGCTCAGGACGTTCTCAACTTTACGCTTGTATGCACTGCCTCCTTCTCGGCTGCCAAGAACACCTGCAGCTCCCGCGAGCTTGTTTTGCTAGCTTCATCCTGGCCCGTGCTTTAGGGCCTACTGGCGCTGATTGAAGTCATTGGCTTCTTTTCGGCCACGCCCCTATCGCAGCACAGATTCTCGTCCAAAGCTACAAGAGCCAGTGGCAGTGAGTGCCTTGTTCCATAGGTGTACTTCGTCTTCATCCCCTCCTTCATGATGCAGCTTCGCGATGCTGCAAAGTTTACGTAGTCATGGTGTCGCGCTCTTAGCCAAGTGTCACGTTGCAGTCGGCAGGCCAACCTGGTTCCCACTGCGCACTACGCGAGTCTTCTGCAGCCCTTGTATGGCTTGAGCATGACAGAGTATGAACTCCGTAGGCAAACGATGCAACCCTGAGCGAAGCATTTAGAATCTAGACATGTCTAGCGCAGTTCAGGCTCTTGAAGGCGTTGGCCGATCAGAAGCCGCCACAGCATCAGCAGAGTCCACTTGAATAGATGCACTTGAAGTGTTGCCCAAAACAACTGCCGCATTGGGCGAGACCGTGGAGGCCACAGGCTCAACCTCCCGGGCCAGCAGTGTTTTGGGGGAATGTGGTTTAGGGTTGAGGGCTTCAGGGTCGAAGGGTTAAGGGTTTAGGGTTTAAGGTTTTGCCAGCACTTCAAAAGGCCCGGGCCTTATGTCTTTGATCGCTTGGGCCTCGTAACCCCCCACGTTTCAGATTTTCTTGGCCCGGATGTGCACAGCCTATACCCGAAGCTCTAAACTTAGCCGCCCTAAACATGTTACTCGGGTAGGGTTTAGGGTTTGGGAAGAACAAGAGCCATAGTGCCTCCTGCGAAAGGTTTCCGTGCGCTGTGGCAATCGTTTAGACGAAATGAGTCCATAAATATCGGTACCGCATATGGCAAGGCTTGATAAGGAGACCCAGTCCAACAGCGCACGACCTTTTAAAGCTCTTGCGATTGGACGCAGGCTTGGCACCGGTGTCTGCTGTTTCGAAATACTCTGCAGGAGACTTGTTAGCAGGATTGCTTTTTGGAGACGCCCTGGTAGGCAGCAACAGCAGCCAGGAGCCTGAGCAAACCCCTATGCCCAAAACCCCGAGCCCTCACCCGCAAGACCCAAACCCCCAAACCCGGAACCTTGCGCTCTAGTCTAGACCCAGAGCCCTAAACCCTAAACAACAATGAATATCGCAGATTTGCGAAGACACCTCAAAGCTAACCCGGAATCCGAAGAAGACCTGAGAACCCGAAAACCGGGACTGGCAAACCCGAAAGCCCCAAACCCCAAACCCCTACCTGAACCCAACCATCAAACCCTAAGCTCCTAACTCTAAACCCACAATCCCTAACCCTGAAACTCTAAAACCCTCTTTATCCCTTACTGTACCCTCAACCCTCAGCTCTTAAACTGTAAAGCCCGAAACCCCCAAAGCCCTAAACCCTAAACCCATACACTCCCAGACCCTACACCCTAAATCCCACAAGGTTTAGGGCTTCGGGTTTAGGGTTTAGGAACCCGACAGCGCCCCAACAAACCCTCATGAAGGCTGCGGAGATGGAGCGCCCTGCCCGGGTGATGCCTTGGCATGTCTACAGCAGCTCACAGGTCGATATGTGTTGTCTAGGGTTTAGGGTTCAGGGATATGTTTTGTTTTCGTGGTTAGGGTACGTTAGAACTTTGAGTGGCTCAGGATTTGCTCAGGTGATGTTTGAGTGTGTTGTAGGACGTCATTGGGGTGAATTGTCAGAATCGTGCGCCGCTCAAGAGGAGCCCACCATTAGGGATCAGCCAAGATTCAGATCTAGGTACTGGAAACACTTGAACCCTCACCAGATTTCTGTGGCCTCACATGCTAAATCCAAGAGTTTGTGGTTAAGAGCTTTCGGGCTCAGAACTCATAACCTTTAGGGTTCAGGGTTTCGGATTTAGGGCGGCCAAGGTCGATGTTGTTGGGTGGGGGCGACACGTTTCAAGGGACAGATTCTGCTCGCTTGCGGATTTGGTGCTTTGCAGGGTTTGTGTGGGGACGTGCGCAGGTAAACGGACTCGGGTCCGGGCAGATTAACATCATCCTGGGGCTTTTGCTTGGACTGGCATAGGCTGTCATTCTGCAGAGGACAATTTTAATACCTTTTGAGGTGTTGGTTTTGTTTGTGCAGTGTTGCGTATATTGTGATGTGAGAAGATTGCAAAAAGTGGGGGATCCTTTTTTTTTGGGCCCTTTGTTTTTGCTTTTTTTTCGTCCCTCCGGGGGGTGGCGAAGGCAGGCAGGAAGGAAGGAAAGCGGGGAGGAAGGAAGGAAGGAAGCAAGGCAGGGAGGAAGGGAGGAAGAAAGGAAGGAAGGAAGGAGGCACGGACGAAGAAGAAGGAACGAGGGGAGACTATATTATATGTTATATATAATTTTTAAAATATATAGCATGTAATATATAATATATAATATATTATATACTATATATTATATTTTATCATATTATATAATGTATATATATATATATTTGTTAATATTTTATTTTCTATTCTACATAATATATTTTATACCATATATCTGATACTATATATTATGTATGATATATTATATGTTATATACTATATA